GGCTACCCACATTGATTGTCCATTGTGATGGTCCACACTGGCTACCCACATTGATTGTCCATTGTGGTGGTCTACATGCTACTCACATTGACATCGATGGTCTACACTGGCTACCCACATTGACCATCCATTGTGATGGTCTACACTGGCTGCCCACACACTCACTCTGCATCTTGATGGTTTATATTGACTATACCTTCTACCCATCTTGATGGCTTACACTGACCATCCACTTTGATCCCCCATCTTGAGAGTCTATACTGGTCACCCCCATTGGCCTTCCATTTTGATGGTCTACACTACTCATGACACTGACCCTTTATCTTGATGGACTGTACTGACCACACTTAATATCCATCTTAATAGACACTGACCACCAACTTGGATTGCCATCAGGACTATAGTGACCACATCCTGACCTTCCCTTCCAGTGGTCTGCTCTGACCACCCCCATTGACTGCTGTGGTCCACACTGATCATCCAGACTGACCCTGACCACTGACCATGCTCTTATCATTCCTCAGCAATTTCCATTTTTCTCTAGAACATCCCCATGACCCCACCCCTAGTCATCCCATCCCCTAATCATCCCCAGGGACCTTTAGACTTACATTTGAGAATCACTGACTAACCTTCCTTTACTTTTCAGGGCCCCCCTGGCCTTCCAGGACTGAAGGGAGATGCTGGCTTTAAGGGGGAAAAGGTAAGGATTCTATGCTATGCTATGCTATGCTATGCTATGCTATGCTATGCTATGCTATGCTATTCTATTTCTATTCAATTCCTGTTCTGTTCCGTTCTTGTTCCTGTTCCTGTTCCTATCCTAGCCTAGCCTAGCCTAGCCTAGCCTAGTCTAGCCTAGCCTAGCCTATCCTGTCCTATTCCATTTCTGTTCTGTTCTATTGTATTCTGTCCTATCCTGTCCTATCCTATCCTTCTCCATCTGTGCCCATATTTACCTCTCTTCCTGACCAGAGCTTTATTCCAGAGCTTTAGAAGAACAATCCCTCAGGACATCCACCTGCCCCCTAACATCTGTTTCTTTGTCCTCTAGGGTCACATTGGATTAATTGGCCTCATTGGCCCTCCTGGTGAGGCTGGAGAGAAAGGGGATCAGGGGTATCCAGGCGTGCAGGGCCCCCCAGGCCCCAACGGAGACCCTGTGAGTGTGTGTCCTTTCTTAAGTGGGAAGTGTCTGTTCAAAGGCAGGGCAGAGAGAGAGGCAGAGAATGGGCTAGTGAAGAGATTGTGCAAATGGAAGTCTCAGAAGCTCCCTGGGTTATGATGGCCTGGAGAGAGAAGGTTCTAGAGTGATAGGGGTTGTGTCTGGGGTGAAATGGAAAGCTTTATCTGGAGACTTGTGGGTTGGAGGCTATGTCCAGGAGCCGAGTCCCTCTGAGGGGGAATTGGGAGCTGGGTGGGGGGTGCGTCTAGGCAATGGGTTAAAAATGTTCATTGCTGACTCTGATGTCCCTTCTCCAGGGTCTCCCTGGTCCAAGTGGCTCCTTGGGTCACCCTGGGGCTCCTGGTGCATCAGTGAGTATTGGAGGTCATTAAGGTGGGGTCCTTTCCCCAGAAGTCCAGCCTGGGATCCCAGCTCTCCCTGTTTCTACCCCACAGGGCCCTCTGGGAGAGAAGGGATCAAAGGGGTCCCCGGTGAGTATACAACAATTTCTTGAGCTCCCACGTGCCAGCTCTTCCCCTCCACTTCATCAGGGCCCTTGACGCCTCTGCATTTAATTTACTGATTCAATCATGCATTCAACATAGATTTATGAACACCTGCTATTGTATTCCATCAAACCTAAGAGGCTATCAATTGTGAGATGTATCATTATTTTAGAAATGGCCAGCAAAACCATTTCAAGTAAATTGTGATTTGCTGAAGATGTTAAGATGCAAGCTGATTTTGATGATGTTAAAATAGAAAAAGAAAATGTGTGTCTAGTGCTGACTGCTCGGTGCTGTGTCCTTTCCCCAAGGCTGTGTGTGTGTGTGTGTGTGTGTGTCTGTGTGTGTTGGTGAGGGTGGTGGGAAGGGGTCAGGTCTCCATAGAACCACCCCAAGTGACCTCTCTCTACACACAACCTCTCTCTACAGGGAGCCCTTGGTCCTCGAGGAGACAGGGGTCCCCCGGGGCCTCCTGGGCCCCCGGTGAGTTGACAGCAGTGTGTGTGTGTGTGCGCGCGCGCGTGCTGTGTCTGGAGTGTCCCCATTTGAGCGTTCAGTGCCCAGCATGGTCAGGGCAGACACCAGGGCTCAGAGGGTGCACGGGGGAGGTAGGGGCAGTTCCTGAAAGCCTAGGGGGCTCGGGGGTCAGGACTCGGTTCTTTTGCTTAAATGTCTCCACCCCATCGCTCTGTTTCTGTCCCTCTCTCCATCGCTTCGGCCTTTTCCTGTTTATCTGTCTCAATGTTTTCTTCTACCTGTGCTTCTATCTGCCACCTCGCCCCTCCTGTCTGTCCTCCACCATGGCTCTCTATCTTGACTATTCTCTTCCACCTCTCACCCCTGGCTCCCGCGCCCTGTCTGTCTCTTCACCTTCTTTCTCTATGCTTCCGGTTTCCCACCTCTCCGTCTCCTGCTGTCTCTCTTGCCCACCTCTGCTGTCCCCCTCGCCACTGTCCCCACCCTCAGGGTCCCCCAGCAGAGCTGCACGAGCTGCGGCGTCGCAGGCGCTCCATCCTGGGGGCCCTGAGGACACCAGAGGAGATCTCGGCGGGCGGCCTGGAGGAGGTGCTGGCCTCACTCACGTCGCTGAGCTTGGAGGTGGAGCAGCTACGGAGGCCTCCGGGCACCGCTGAGCGTCCCGGCCTGGTGTGTGGCGAGCTGCACCGCAACCACCCGCACCTGCAGGACGGTGAGGCCCGCTCCTCCCGGGTGGGCGGGGTGGTGGGGGCCGCCTCTGCTCACCCACCCGTCTTGCTCTGCGCCAGGGGAGTACTGGATCGACCCCAACCAGGGCTGCGCCAGGGATGCACTCAGGGTTTTCTGCAACTTCACGGCGGGAGGAGAGACCTGCCTTTACCCGGACAAGAAGTTCGAGACCGTGAGTGATGGCTCCAGGGATGGCGGTGAGGGTGGACCAGGCCGGGATGGGGGGAGGGCTCCTGGACCCACCTCCTCCACATCCCCTTCCCTTCCCCCCAGAAAGACTCTCCCCTGCTTGACCCCACTCACACCAGACTTTGTTTAGAATCTTATCTTTTCTTGAGAGAGCTCTGGTGGCCTAGTGGCAAGAAGCTGCACTGCAATCTCAGAGGGACTTCGTTCAAAACCACCAGATGCTCTGCTGGAGAAGGAGGGGCAATCTCCTCCTGTACCAGTCAGATCTGATTTGACAGTACAC